ACACTATACTACAATGAAAAAATTCATTTCACATACTAAGTAACTAATCAGAACACAAAAAGGTTGAGTTATTCTTTGAGATATTTTCTAAGTTAAATAAGTTGTTGAAAGTAATTATAGGATATGTAATCCATATGAAAAATATTCCCATTATACGATTAAATAAATGAATTTATTTGATTTACATGTATGAACTTATTGACCTTGCAAGTCATTCAGTATTATAATACTCTTACTTTAGTTTGAAGTACATAAACTTTGTGTAATGCAACTTTTATTTCGTGAATATAAATTTATTTGTACTCCTACCATTCTACTGAACGTATAACAAATAACTTATGAAAGAAAATACCCACATAAAATAGCCCATCACACAATTTTTGCCCCCCATATAAACTTGAAAATACCTGTATATTGATTGTATTGAAGCAGAAATACCAGAATAAATAAAACCTCTGGATGTCAAGCAATTCTAATCACTTTGATTTTAAAATCTTTGATATCCTATCACAGCTAGTTCAAAGTCTTAATAACATATTTCTCATTCAAGTAGAAGCAAATAGTAACGAATTTGTTGTCATGTATGTATTTTTAATATGAACGTTGTTTAGATTAAATTTGTATTTAAAAATATGCGTAACTTATAGTGTCGAATATGTATTGCGTGTAATGAATTTGTTATATATTTATTTTAATGACAACGTTTGTTTGGATTGAGTTTATATTTAAAAACGTGCCTGGCTTACAGTGTTAGTTACATACTGGAAAACTCCTGCCAATTCTCCATGGTTGTAGAATATTCGTGAATGTAAGAATCAACAATATATCCACTTCCGTAACCGGTTAAATATAGCTCAGTATTGTTGTAGGGATTTTAGAGAAAATCTTTCCAGCACCTATAAAAACAGCCAAGGTGACGTGCCAAAAAAGAGAGCTCAAAAAGTTGGCTAGGAACCTGCTATAACCTTGTACGCTATAAATTGTGATTTTACTAACCCTTATCAACCTGAAAATTTATAACATTTGACCAGGAACAGTTATAAATTTTGAACATCAGTGCATTCTCATCAAACGTTAGTATCTTTCCGAAAGTATTACTGAATTCACATCAGACATTAGTGGTTTTATGAAAATATTATCTTACTTCAACGGTCCAACAATTCAGTGTGTGACAAAGCTAGCTAGCTTCTTGACAATTGTACGTACATTAACTTCAAGTTCACCCGCTAGATATCAAGGATACTCTGAACTAGAAAGAAGATTTTATGTTGTTTGTAAGTTAGTGAAATTGTTGTTTATAAAACTTTGTTTGTGGTAACTATTCGTAATAATAGTTGTTGTAAATTGTACTGTTGTATATATATATATTAAAACATATTTGTGTGAAAAACGAAAACGGTGTGTGTCAATCTTGTTGGCAAATAGCATAAATTAAATAAAATATCGGGTTCAGACTATTTCAAATTCGCAATAAGTAACAAAGTTTAAATATGCCAATTTATGATAAACTTTCCTTTTCCAAATTACGTAAGTACGAACTGTTCAGTTTAAAAGTATAATTTGTGCTAAAACATTACTAGTGAGTAGGACCCTAAACCATTATCAAAAAGTTACTAGACGGGTAACCTGCACAAAGCATTTACATGAACATTGGTTAGCATCAATTGTTATCATATGTGAAATATTCCAACAAAAAAGTATCACATTTTTTCATTAATAGCTGGGAGTTAAAAGATCATATTTTGCAACCAGATGTAAACAAATAATTGTTTGATTATAATACAAGAGTATTGTTTTTTATGTCTTTCACCACATCTACATACTGCATCATGCATGTCAAGTTATTTTATGCTTTTTCCTGTCACTTCACTTGATGCAAAGAACCAATCAGGAAAAATGGGTAAAATCACTTATTTCCTATGTAAATTATATAAGAACCCTAGAAGTATTTAATGGCAACAGGTGCAAAACTGACGGTCATTTTTTTTAGTATTTTGTGTGACTCATGTTAATAGGAGTCCTATAACCAACAAAGTCATAAACCCACAAGAAACTTGGTTTAAATAGTTTAGAAAAATATGATTAAAAGGTGTACTGGGGTCATGGTTGTCATAGTAATCCTATGGTTAATAAAATAAATGGTTCCTAAGGTGAAGGTTGACTGTCAATATTAACTAAATAAATTTAAGTTTGTTGGTTGATTGACTTATTTTTAGAAATAGAAAAGAAACTTTAAATATTTTATACAGCAGTTCTAAAAAGTAAACATTTTCATAATAAAAAATACTTCAGTATGAACTATCCCTCACACAAAGAAATATTACTTACCATCTTTTCCAAGTTCACTAATGCCTATATTTTCCTTTTCAACTGCAAGTATTTCAATATGGTCCTTTTTTATCCCATCTTCTTGAGGCTTAAAGTCTGGTATCTGTTCTATTTCTTGAACAGTTACTTGTTTCACAGTTTCTACTTCAGATGGTTCAACAACATAAGCTGATTCATCTTTAGGCATAACAGCCATTTCTTTCATAGACACACTAACAACACCACTAGATTTTTCTGGCCCATTAACTTTCTCTACCAAAGACACAGGTATAATTTCAGAAGAGCTTAAAAATTTTTCCTCTCCTTCGTCAGCTGATTGTCCGTCCTCATTAGATTGTTCACGATTCACTTGGTGTTTTCCATTTAATTCACAAGGAACTGTTTTTGAGGCTGGATTTAAAACAACTGTGGTTACACCATTACCACTGAAACCATTAGCACCGTCACTGTCATTTACAGAAGAAGTAGGTGGCTTAGATTTACTGTCTACATCAAATGTTTTCAATCCATTGCTCAAATCAGCTGTTGACATTAGAGGTTTTCCAGGATCTTGGATCTCTTCCTTGACTGAAGAGTTTTCTTTTGAAGTTGCAAGGGCAGCAACTTGAAGAGCAAATTGAGCAGCCACCTCATTTACAGGGGCATTATTCTCCTGACAAACACAAAATATACATCTTACTATAATGGATGTAGCATGTATGTCACTATCTATGTATGTAACCAAAATTCCTGCACCATCTATTTAATGACACCACAAACTAAAATCCACAAAAAAATTTACAATTTGGGTATTCAAGATTCATACAATTAGAAAAATAACTGTGGTATGTGCATTTTTTTATAATAGAACACAATTTTAAATAAAAGTACTCTCCTTACAACAAGAACACAACTTTCACTAGGACTGTACACGAGGGCTTGATTACATCTTTAATGATGAAATTTTTAAATGTGGCACTGAGAAACTGGAGAAACTAATATTTTTTCAGTAAACAGTACCGTTTTTAATATATAAAAACATTAGTTTATATCAGTAAAATGTATGAAAAGTTTGAGCTCTGTACATTGAATCATTCTGATGCAAAATGTTGCATACAACTAAAAAACACAATCTGAACACTTTTCCCATGCAGTACTTCCCTGTAATTACTAGCACAAACAGTCGCCCACAGGGTGGCGTTTCTGCACAATCTGAACACTTTTCCCATGCAGTACTTCCCTGTAATTACTAGCACAAACAGTCGCCCACAGGGTGGCGTTTCTGCTAGTCATTTTTAATTATTTCTCACAGCACTGTATACTAGCTATGTTAAGACAATTTAGCCAACATCAGGAAATCATCGAGTGTGATGATATTCAAAATGTAGTAGAACAGTCATTAAAATATCATATTTAGATTTTTCTACATCTAAATACTTTTCATATTCTTCTTTCTGTTTTTAAGAAAATCTTTACACAAGCAAAAAATATTCATGCCAAACCTTTTCAATTAAATGATAAGGGAGAGCCATTTAATCACTTATCTCTGGTGAAAATAGTTTCTACAGCATCAGAAATCTTTATCTTTTCATCAAGTAAGAAAACAAGAACAAGCTATGTTACAGAACCATGGGAAATTTTTCTACTTTTTGTAATAATCCAAAAGAAGCGTGACATCATGATAATAAATGCTAACAATCCCATAATTTGTCCAGCATGGTATAACTGTAGACACTGATATCATATTCATTAGTAAGTGATACTTGGGTACTCTTTCCTATCTGTATAATACACAGGTATAATTGCAGCAGTGAACTCATCCACCACCTTAACTTTAAAAACAGTAGTGCCAATGGTACATGTTACTGTGAGAAAATACTGTTAAAACATTGGTAGTGTTGTAACAATATTTTATAAGGAATAGAATGCATTGTTTCATCAGTTGGGTGGTACCCAACTGATGAAACAAAGCATTCTATTCCTTATAAAATATTGTTACAACACTGGTACCCAACTGATGAAACAAAGCATTCTATTCCTTATAAAATATTGTTACAACACTGGTACCCAACTGATGAAACAATGCATTCTATTCCTTATAAAATAGTTAAAACACTGGTACCCAACTGATGAAACAATGCATTCTATTCATTATAAGTCAGAGCTTTAAAAAAGTATATTTAATTAGTTATACTCATTACCAGGTTCATATTTAGTTTGATCTAAGTAGGTAACTTCTTCTGATCAGATGTTAATATTAATTAGCAAGAGCTATCTTGTATATTTTATTTTGGTTACTGCGAAAGTTTGGTTTGTTTAGAATTTCATGCAAAGCTACACGAGTGCTATCTGCACTAGCCATCCCAAATTTAGCAGTGAAAGACTACAGGGAAGGCAGATAGTCATCACCACCCACCATCAACTCTTTGGCTACACTTTTACCAACGAATAGTGGGACTGACCTTCACATTACAATGCTCCCACGGCTGAAAGGGCAAGCGTGTTTGGTGGAATGGAGAATCGAACCCACGACCCACAGATTGTGAGTTGAATGCCCTAACCACCTGGCTGTGAAGAAGTTTTTAATGCATTCTTCGTACCAGTGATTTTGTATATATTTTAATTCGAAATAAATTAAAATGGAATTTGTATGAACATAGAAAGATGTACACACAATTTATTTTCCCCTTAGCCCCTAGTAGAGATCCTTATGCATCAACTCAGGGTTGTTTTTACTCAACTAACCTTTGAAGAGGAATAGCTAATAATGTCTTGCATTATGTCTTGGCCAGTTTTGGGATCAACAACTTGGAGAATTTTCTTCTCTCTTTTCTCTGCTGTTCCAGCACCACTAGGGGTCATTGAAGGTAACGTACTTGGTATGGAAGCCATGCTACTGGGACTCACAGGAAAGTAGACTAAAAAAATCCAACCAAAATGTATACATTTAAAAAGTTAGAAAAAAAAACTTAAAAATTGTCAAAGTTGGTGGTTTCTACTACCTGTTGTTTTTTTTTTTAAATTAAAGCAATTTCCTTTAGATCTTTCTTTATTCTGATTGTCATTAAAATGTAAACCATAAAGTTCAGACAAAAATTGATAATCATTTTTTATTAAATGCTTTTTTTCAGTTAATAATGACTTTAATAAAATGACAAGTATCTATAAGATGGGAATTTTGCTCTCTCTTCCCATTTCTCTTATTTTCTTTTTCTCTGCTCATCTTACCCATTAAATGTTTAAAACAACCATAGAATCACTTTTAATCTTGTCCATTACTTACTGTAAAAATGTAACATTTCACAAAGTGTGTGCAAATTCCACCTTCATTCTGTGAAAGTATTCTATATGATAGTCCTAGCATTCTGAACACCTTCAGGTATGTAAGTTGCTCTTGTCTAGCCAGTTTCTTGTTGCCAAAATCACATTACTAACACTTTTGTTGCACAACATCCCACTACTCTTCCAATTTCATAACACAGTACTGGGCTAGTATAGGTGGGTCACTTTGAATACCAAGAGAAAATACACCTTACTTGATATTTAGCAGAACCGAATTTTTCCATGGAGAAGGCCATACAAAAAATTATAGACAGTTCTATTGGATAAACCAATATGGAGTTTAATGAGGAGAACACCAAACAGATATTATATGAAAATCCCACAAAGATGGAATCCTGGAAGACAGGTCAATTAATTGAAATTTGACAAGTCCAGTCAGATTACAGTTTGCGTTCTTGTTCACTTATAACTGGCAAACTGCCAGACCAATAGTCACCAAATGTGGCCTGTACTCGTTATGCCCCCTGGTGAGTAACATAGTGCTTCCTTATTTATCCAAAATCATACTTAAAAGGTGAATAAATCATTTTCACTACTGTCACGCACATCATACGGCCTACCTCCAGAAAGATGTTCTTGTATGTATGATACCACCTGCTTCAGCTGGTATACACTGTTTCAGTGACATTATTCATGCTCCAGCTTTATATTCCACAACCTGTTGGGTTGCTGAACCAGTTCAAGCAGGTGTTGTAAGACAACAAAATCTGTTTCTGTATTTTGCACGAGAGCAAACCATTAGCAGTTCTCATATAATCACCTACAAAAAGAATTTGCAAGTTAGTAAGTAACAAGTTTAGTAACCACAGGATGTGGCTATTGTGGAGAGATGATTTAGGTGTGCATTGGATATCCTTCACAAACTGGTTGTGAAAACCTGGATGCATTCTTTCTGGGAGAGGAGTGTAACCAGCATCCTACAGAGGAATCTTTTCTCTCAAGACTAGTCACAAAAGTGCACTTGGTGGTAGAAGTAATAGATGATTATATAAAACAGTGGAAGGTACATCCAGGTTATCACAACCAGTTTGTGAAGGATATCCAATGCACACCTAAATCATCTCTCCACAATAGCCACATCCTGTGGTTACATCCAGGTTTTCACAACCAGTTTGTGAAGGATATCCAATGCACACCTAAATCATCTCTCCACGACAGCCACATCCTGTGGTTACATCCAGGTTTTCACAACCAGTTAGTGAAGGATATCCAATGCACACCTAAATCATCTCTCCACAATAGCCACATCCTGTGGTTACATCCAGGTTTTCACAACCAGTTAGTGAAGGATATCCAATGCACACCTAAATCATCTCTCCACAATAGCCACATCCTGTGGT